CAATCGCCATCCTGAGAAGGGAATCGCCATCTTGGGAAGGGAACATCGCCATCTTGGGAAGGGAACGTCGCCATCTTGGGAAGGGAACGTCGCCATCTTGGGAAGGGACGGCCTCCACATTAGCAGTGGCAATCGCCATCCTGAGAAGGGGATCGCCATCTTGGGAAGGGAACGTCGCCATCTTGGGAAGGTGTGGTCGCTATCTTGGGAAGGTTCTTTCGCCATCTTGGGAAGGTGCTTTCGCCATCGTGTGAAGGTGTGGTCACTATCTTGGGAAGGTGCTTTCGCCATCTTGGAAAGGCTCTTTCGCCATCTTGGGAAGGCTCTTTCGCCATCTTGGGCTCGTGGCGTTGCTCCGCCCCGAGGTGGGGAAAAGGGCGGGAAGGGGGCGGCCCCAGGCGGAGGGTCCCGCCCTTTCACCATCCCCTGTCCCTTCCCTTTTCCCCTCTTTTTCCCCCTTTTCGCTGCCTTTTCCCCCTCCTTCCCCCTCTTTTTCTCCTCCCGCTTTTTTGAACTCCTCTTTCCCCCTCTCCATATTTGCCCCCATTCCTGCCCTCAGTGCTCCTCATCCTCCCAGGACTGTGGCTGTGGGACGGTCCCGGCCCCGCTGCTGCTCCCACAGAACATGAGGGTGGCATTGGCCTTTCCCAGGGTCAGCAATCTCCGGGATTTCTCCGAGTCCCTCAGGCCTGGGGGTGGGAGCGAAGGTGAGCCCCGTGATAAATAAATCAAATTCCAACAGCGGGTTTAATCCTCCCCTCCAGGTGTGCCGGTGCTGTCCCTGCGAACCGGCCCAGGAAAGCTCCACCGCCTTCGTCCCGGGATCCCGTGATAAAATCCACCAAAATAGGTAAAAGTCCTTGTTAGTGTTTGGTTTCTTCCCAGGGACCGTGTCAGGTACAGCCAATGTTCTTCAGCTTCTCACATTTATAGAAAATGTAGATGAGAAACAGGCCTGGGTGAGAATTGGGACAGAGGTTTTTGCATCTCAAGAGCAGAACTTTTGCATCTCTGACACAGAACTTGTCTTTTACACATCATTTATACCAAAAAACCCCAAAAAACCCCTAAAAGGATTACCTGAGGCTGTTACTTCAGAGTCTACATGGAGGAGTTACTAACATGTAAAATACCAAAGTTGTTTAGGGTGATCTCACAGTTTTTAAAGCACTATGATATGCCCTTATTTTCTACACTTTTCCCACATGGTTTTTGTATATTTCGTGTATATATTGGTAATACTTTGGTATTTCAAAATACCAAATGGTACTTTGGGTGCAATTGAAGGTTTTGAGTATTTCAAAATACCAAATAATACTTTGGGTGCAATTGAAGGGTTTGTGTTGCTATTCAGCATCTTAAAAATCCACAGATTTTGGCAAAAGCAACATTAATTTACAAACCCTGCAGAGTCTGAGACCTCTCGTGGAGTTTTCAGTTGTTACATCCTTTAGTGTGGCTGCTTTAAAAAAAATTAAAAAAAAAAAAAAGAAAAGAAAAGGAAAAAAAAAAAGTAATCTCTGGTGGATGTCTCAGAGGTTTCTTCCCAGCAGAGGGAGATATCTGACCGTGGAATCCGAGCACACCCAGGGTTCTTGTCGCTTGTTTTATCAATATACATATAAAACTCAATGTTCAAATTAACTAGTTCAATAAGTAATTTAGCTCATTGATTTTCGGGCATATCCTAAGTGCCATTACAAGCTACGGATATTTTAAATGCCATTACCTAATAGAAGGAATGTTTTAAGCACCTTTTATTGATTTTATTACTGCTTTATTTTGCTGTCTTGGTTTAAAAATCATTTTAACCACTCTGTCATCGAGAAGAAATATATCGTTGGTGAAATACAGTCAATTTCCTAAAACCTTTGACATCGTTAAATAAGGAATTACAGTTGTTAAATCATGTCAGGCAGTGACAGGGGGACAGCAAAGAGATGGACTGGGGGCAGAGGGCTGTGCTGGCCTTTGCCACTGTCCCCGGTTGTGACAGAGCCACGGCGGGGCTGCCACAGCCACCTCTGGGCTCCTCCAGCTCCCAGAGCAGCTTTAAAACCTCCAGAAGGTGCCAGACGGGCTGGGAGCATCACAGAATGCGAGGCAAATACAGTTAAAGGGTGTTTGAATGAGCTGTGGCTTTTTATTGAAACTATTTTCAAACTCAGTGCATTTGAAGTTGTGTTGCTGGGGGTTTGGGATATTGGTGTTGTACACAAAGGGGTAAATTGAGCC